CTCAATATTACAAGGTTGATTAGAGAGATCATACTTGGTGGACTAGCTATGAAGAAACTTACTGTACACAGCAACATGTAGCCATGAATTACACCTACTGCCTAAAGAGCTCCAGATTCTCGGGGATGAGAAACATCACATTAACACAACATGGTGTCCAGCAAAAGCTAATTGTATTCCTAATTGTTAACACTAATTTATGGCCTTGAGTACAGCATGCAGAATCTCTTGCCACCATCTTTCCAAAATAGAAGACTGATTGAGAAGGTTTCTTAGCTGAAAGCATAATATTCAGGCATTACATTAATTTTTCACTTTGCTGATCCTTCCCTCCTTCTCCCACATACCCAAGACACAAGACATACTGGGATAGAAGTAATAGAATGGATACCAGCTCCATTCAACACTTTCAGGATATTCCAGCCTTAATATTGCATTTGAACCAAATCTGATGCCAACACATGTGCTATGCAGCCAGAATATATTCCAAGAGACTTGTTTTTTTAAGTGGACATCCTATTTTCAGTCAGTTCTCTAAGGGTGACTTCCAAGCCACTGAATTACCATTTTGGGGCAATAACCAAAATTAGAAAATCCCCACAACCTTAAAATGGGAGAATGTGCCACAAAAACTTTTTTTTTCTTTCTTTTTCCCCCTCAAACTTTTGGGCTACATAACAGATTACATCAACACAACCTGCTCAACACTGTAAAATTAGTAAGCATCTTGAAGCAAGATGGGACACATAAGACATTCTATGGAATGTATAAAACCAAACTCAAACAGCATGAAAAAAGTAATGTTTATTTTTATTGTTTACAAAAGCATGAACACCTTATGCAAAAGCAGCATCCTGAACCATACATTTCCCTCATCCTCCTGGGCTATTGGCAGAGAGCAAGTATTTTCTCTGTTCTTTAGTTAAACATACTCTGCTGAGGTAAATGGGAACCACCCCACCGATTTCCACAGAGCTCCAAGTGCTTATGTTAGCAAAGAGGCCGACTCATCAGACTGCAAAGCAATGAGATGTCAAATAGGTCACTTGTTTTAGGTGCTAAGTTGGGTTAGTCTGTGCTTCTAGCCAAGACAGACTATCCAGATACTTAATAAGCTCCCCATTTTCTTTAGTATTAACAGAAACAGATTTCATTTTAAATGCCTGTTTAAACATTATGACTCTCATCCCATGCTAACTTCATGCAAGGTTTAACTTTATGCACCATTAACAATTTTACTCAAGTTTTCAAGAGACAGCAAGTGTGTTCATAGTCTATATCAGGAGTGAGACCTTTCAGCATAAATAGCTATTTACTCCTTTCTTACCTGACTCCCCAGTAGATGGAGGTCAAGTGCTTACTCTGAAGAACCATGCCCTAAGGTTAACCTGAAAAAAAACATGCAGCATTTTTATTTTGCCTTCGTCTTTTTCTCCTCATCTAGAGCTTGAAGTGGTTAATGGTCATGTAATCAAATAGGCCATGCTTTTGAACCTACAGAGAAATATTTACTTAAAAAGTGTTTTGGTCAACAGAGAATTTGATTGCAATGACTTCAAAGACTTACCTGGAGCAAGTTTACTCATACTGTTTCCTAAAATGATCACTACTATAAAACAGCCTAATTCCTCAGGTCCTCTGAGTCTCCTCAGAATCTACAACTGATGCTTCAAAGTATTTATTACACTGGGAGAAATGGCTTTGGTTTATCTGCTATCCTATGTCTAAAATGACTGACATACTATTTATGTCTGCAGGACTGATATTTGATCTATGGATCAATGAAAACTGCTTCTTTTTTACTGGTCTAGCTGTAGGAACTGTTCTATCAGCTCCTGCCAACTTCACATTAAATAAATATCATTTACTGCACATATCGAAACAATCTGCTGAGAATCCATATATTACATAGACACACACAATGTATGTGTACACATATATACACACACATATATAGAGATAATTTGTATTTATTTTACACTTACAAAGTGCTAAAAGAACCAAACAACTCTCAGTGCTAGAGATGATGCTAAATGAAATGCTACTACTTATATGGCATCAAATAATTACGAGACTCTGGTCCAAGAGCTTCAGAACTATTAACAAAAAATGATCTTTCATTGGCAAAAATAGAAAAGTTCCAAATGGTTTGAATTTCACTTTTAAATAAACTGGAATCATTTAGGAAAACAAAACAAAACAAAAAAACCCACACAAAGTAGATTTTATAATTTAAATTTCAGCTCTGTGTATAGCAAGCATTTACACTCATATTCTATTATTTTCATGGCAAAATTCTGAGATGCCTTGGACTCAGCGATGACTTTGATGAATCTGGCAGCATCTCACATGTGCATCATTACCTCAAATTTTGAAAAAGGAAAAAAATGTACAAGTTCAGCCCTGTATTCTGTGAGTCTGGCTGCATAGTCAGAAACAGAAATATTGCACTCAAGACCATGCCTACAAAAAAGCACATTTAATAAGGCCATAATAGTCAAGATCATAACGGGATCAGGTCACATGAGCAATCAAATATATCATAAACAGACCTAGAAAGCTATATTGCAGAAGATGGACTCAAACCAGCAGTGTCCCAGCAATTTAATAACTGATTTCTCTTTTTCCCCATGAAATGCCAATCTCTCAAAGTGGTTTTTCCCACAGGGCCAGACAACATGATGCATATGTAACACAATTGTGTCATTCCATTTTTTCTTGAAAGTTACCAAGCGCCCCAGAGTTTAAGGGTAGGATTCTACTCAAGTTCTGACAATAAGGTTCAAGCTGTTACCAACTTTAAGCAGTTTCCATGCATGATGAGGGGAGAGAAGATTTGACTTCCAGTTATTTAAATATCTGCCAACATGCAAGACATGATTCTTACTTTACAAAGTGCAGCAAAGACATAATTGAACCTGTACTGGAATTATTCTCAGTGTGCTCTTTCAGAGCTAGATCACTTTAAGAGTACCGGTTTACCTGATCTGGCTTACTGAAAGAAAGACAGAGAAAACAACCAATTTAACACAATACAAGGAATGATACAGATTTACAAGTTAGCTCTCCACGTCTCAAGGCAAATAGAAAGAAGCAACCTTTTGATTAAAGTGGGGTAAGCTACCTCGAATTTACAGTAGGGTAAGAGTATTCATACCAGCCATTACCTTGGAGCAGCAGGTGTGCTGTAAATCTGCTGGCTTGCTTTGTAGCTATTTGCTCCTTTAGCCATTCCAAAGTTACCCAGTCAACCAGCGTTTTGGCTTGGTTAAGGGTAGTGGCATTTGTCCAAGAAGGAAGGGTAGATCACTATCCCTCTTCCCCATGCCACACTGCATAAATACAGAGAGTTATACAAATGCAAAAAGCATCAGTACAAAGGCTGGAAGAATCACAAGATACAGTAGGTAAGAGACTTA